TATCCAAAGATTAGCTGGAAAAAATCCCTTTATGGGATAAGCTCGTCTTTGTACACTAACGTATTATTTCTTTATAAAAAAATTGTCATTTGTTTTGTTATATTATAAAGTGTTTACATACAAATATAATAATAAAATTAGTTGTTTTTTATTTTAAGTAACGTCAAGTGACGGGACAAACAAGTTGTGCGCCTGATGGTAAGCTACACGTCTGTCCATGACAATTACAGTGCCACTCAGAACTTTAAATTGCAACGATTTGAGGGGCACTGCCACTGCGCCCGTCAACCCGAGACGTAAGTTGTCAAGTCCCATGTGCCTGTAATTCACCTGCACCCTTACTTACCCTTAAAACCGGAACACAGTAATGCTGACATTACTGCTTGGCGGCAGAAATAGGTAAGGCAGTACTACCCTGGACGAACTCTTTCACAAGGAGCTCTACTGCTACTGAATCACTACTCTCTTCTTCCTGCCCTTATCCTACGCTAGGTGGGGTCGGCACAACATGTATTTTTCTTCCACTCTCCCCTATCAACCGTCATTTTTATACTCACACCTTTCTTATCCATGTCATCTTTCACACAATCGATCTATCTTTTCTTTGGCCTTCCTTTCCCCTTATATCCCTCCACATTCATACCTAGCACTCTTCTCGTCACAAGACATTCTTCCCTCCGCATGACATGTCCATGTTTTAGATTCCAGATTTTTGGTGGTATTATTTCGACTAAATTGTTTTGTATAAAACAGAAAGACAGTTATAACCTGACACCTATTAGATCGTATGAATCAGCGCTTTAAAAATAATTCCTTCCTTCCTTATTTTCTTTTTAGGAAATTGCGTAGTAGTTTTCTAATAAAATTTTTAATGCGAAGAAAGACATCGTTCAAGTTGTCATCAAGTCTTATCTCATTCACTATAAAAGTCTATTTAATAGTAATATTTCAAATCATTCTAAGAGTTTTACAGCGAATAATACAAATGCATGTCCGAAGCAAGAAATGATGAGCACGAGGTAAATTCTCTACATGCAAGATAAAATTGTTATTTCATTTAAGGAGACGTTCTACGCATATATTTTGTTTACAAGAATCGGTGTGAATATTATTAATGTAGGAAGTACTGTATACCTAGCTTTAAATGATGGCGCCAGTGTTGAGTTTTGAAATTATTTATTCGTGTCATTAGTAGAAGAAATTACTTGTTAAAAATTCATCAAAATGGCGACAATGAAAGTTTAAGACTTGTTTACACTAGGTCGATAGGTTTGTCAGTCAAAGGCAGCGGTTTTATTTGTAGAGCTAACACGACAGGATGCCACTTGCTAGAGAGCGACATAAAGGCCTAGGGGATGCTGCTAGTCCTACTGGTGTAAACACTGAGTCGTTTGACGATCATAGTTCGCTACCAAAATTGACTGAGTGACTTCACTGCACTTATCTTTTATTTTTTTTATTAATTGGGAAACATACCACATCATATAATACATTTCATTTTTAACATGCCATATCGATTGACTAAACACTAGCCAAAACAGATTCTACTAATATTTACAATAAGTTACGTAGGACAGACAAATTTGACACACGTGAGAATAACTTCTTAAACATGTTTCGAAAGCAAAAGGTATGTAAAGCCAGCCCATCAGACTACACAAAATTAGTTCTTTTTATTATTAATTATCAAACATTTATAGTTATTTTTAAAATTTTTGACCATCTATCATAAACATGCTTTTATTTTAAAGACAATGATAAAATTTCAGGTGTCCCGCTCTTAGAGAAAAATATTACGGTCACGTTATGTAAACAGCAAGTTGACTGCGCCTTTTTCGGCAAAGCAAAATAGTCTACTGAAGACGGCTGTCGACCCAGTGTAAACACGCTATGGCGTGTAGCAAACATATTTGACCATTCGAATATTTAAACAATAAATAATTGTTATAGAGAGGCACATGCAGTTTTTTTATTTCTATGTTTGTTTATTTCTTATTAAACCCAACACGCTATTATTTACGTAATAGTGTTTTTATTCGCATTTTATATAATCTATCGAAATATTAGTTTTAAAATTTCAAATACGTGTACACTTATACATATACTTTCAGAATATACAGAGCTAAAGATGGGTTTTTACCCGATAAATATCCGTCTAAGGATAAATATCCGTTTTTACTGAGTATTTATCACAAACATGGATAATTATTTTATGTGTTTTTAAAAATAAAATTTACAATTAATAAATAATTACGTTTTGGTCATTATTTTATGTAACAATATAGTTCTGCCTACGTTTTTCAAGTCGAGTGGTATAAAAAAATTCGATTGACAGAAAGTTATCAAATTAACTGTAACCCCTGAGCTGACCTATCCTGCGTTAATAAAGTGCGACTCAACTTTATGGTCTTGAGGTCTACTGCGTACTAAATAAAGTCATGTTTGGACTTGAAATAGCCCAAGGATTCTCTTTCACATTTCACACACAAAATCTATTAATTAAAACACATGATGTAAAAAATAAATGTTTATATTTGTGTAGTTACACAAAGTGTTTTAAAATATACTTTGTTTTACTAAATATAAATAGTAAACCACGATTAAAAAATATTTATATTTATTGTTTTCGGATAAATGTATTTTTTTGTAATTTTCGGATAAAAAATGGATATTTATCCTGAATATTTATCCCAATGATATTTATCCATGACCCATCTCTATACAGAGCGCATCGTTGGTACTTAATCTTAGGACAGCGAATACTAATGCGCCGCGCAAACGTTTGTTTGCTGGACCCAAGCGACCGGCAAGTAGAAGCGAATATTTTTTTTTACGATATTAAGTGACGAGACGAACAAGTCGTGCGCCCGATGGTCAGCTACACGTTCGTCCATAACAGTTGCAGTGCCACTCAGAGCTTTAAATTGCAAAGATCTGAGGGGTACTGCCATAGCGCCCGTCACCCTGAGACATAAGTTCCATGTGCCTGTAATTTCTTGCTTACTGCTTTTCCATAGACAAGTATCTAATAACTATTGAAGACGCTAGAGGCCTTGGGTATCAGGGATAGGCAACTGGAACTTTTTAGGAGTTACCTATGTAGTAGAACACAATGTGTCCGCATCGGCGACCATATTAGTACCGAACTGCCTACTAAAATCGGGGTGCCTCAAGGTAGTATTGTCGGACCTACCTTATTTCTGAGATTTCCTTATTTAGACCTATATCAGGGCAAAGTTATATGTTTCGCCGACGACACATGCCTTTTGTTTGCTGGTAGCGACTGGGAGGAAGTTTTCCGATCGTCACAAGCAGGTCTTAATCGTTTGATGCAGTGGCTCTAACTTACTTACAATCAACATTGATAAAACGATGTACATAAGGTTTGGCATCCGTCCAATCTCACTTCCACTGCCCAACACATATGTTGATTGCTCACACTTGTGACCTGCAAGGACAGTGCATATGCCCTGAACTTAACCGCACTGCCTCTATAAAATATCTGGGTGTCACTATAGACCAGCACCTTCAATTTGACGAACACCTAAATCTCCTGAAAGTAAGAACTCGAAAATTAATATACATTTCAAAAAATCTCCGGCATATCGCAGACTTGAAATTGCTCAAGACTGTTTATTACGCCCTGTGTCAATCCATCTTGACCTATTCAATTTTGTCCTGAGCCGGCGCTCTTAAAACACTACTTCTGATACTAGAAAGGGCCCAAAGGGCCGTTCTAAAAGTGACATCTTTTCACAATTTCCTGTATCCTACAAGAGATCTCTATGCCCATTATTCATATAGATGGTAATCTAAAGCAGCACTGTCTTTTCCCTTATGATCCAGCACTAAAACAAACCAAACTTAGACACTATATGGTTTGCAAAAGGTCGTCTCCAAAGACCTCTTTTGCTCGTAAATTCTTTAATTTCTTGGGTCCGTACTTGTACGATTCATGCAACAGCCATGTTAACCTACAGCCATGTTAATCTACCTATTGTCATCTTATGAATGTAAGACAATAGTTGTCGAGTGGTTACGAAACCTGTCCTACGAGGATACTGAAAAACTCCTTAGCGTAACTGTTTAGCTTCACACGTTACATATACAATTTGATAGAAATCCCAAAAATGTACCTTTATTTATTTTCATTAAACCCTCTATTAAATGTTTCACAGTGTTTTCAACTCACTGACTCAGACACGTCACACCCACACACACGCACGCACACACGCACGCACGCAGTCACGCACGCAAACACGCACGCATTTCAAGAATATCATTTCGTTAACATTTGAAATGACTTAATCACCATATAGTGAAGATATTAGACCTTCTTTCTGTTTAACAGCTGTTTTTATACCGCCACTTACATCACTCTACTGGTCGCTTTCTTCAGAACTTCCTTTTACGACTCCTGATTCACAAAACCAAACAAAACACAAGTACTTTATTTCCTATATTTGCTCACTACTAGACTGATCTTTATGCCCTTTACTTTTTCTGTCATTTTTCCCATTCTTTATCGAAATAGTCCTATTAATTTTTTTATGATACCATATGACGCGACGAACAAGTCGCGTCTGGTGGTAAGCGACACACATATCCATAACAGTCACGGCTTTAAATTGAAAATATCTGAGGGGCACTGCCACTGCGCCTGTTACGGTTAAGTTGACAGGTACCGTGTCCTATAATTTCACCAGCATCCTTCAAAACCGAACGCAGTAATATTACTGCTTGGCGGCAGAAATAGGTAAAGTGGCAGTCCTTCTCTGGACGAACTCTTTCACAAGAAGTTCTACTGTTTCTAAAAAACTTTTGGTTGAGAGACCTCGCTTTGTCCTCACAACTTCTGATATACTACAAAAAAAACATCACAATCCTAGCCTTAAATCCGCAAAGATAATTCTACAAATAACAATATCTGAAGAGCATAATATCTTATAACGTTATCGTGTCTAGCTATCGTCATGATCTCGATAAAATTGGACATCCTCCCTGAAGCACCTTATTCGTATCGCGAATCGAAACTACGGTAGCTGGCATAGCGATCGGAACATGAATAGTAAGTAATTTTATACATTTTCAAGCTGAAGTTTGATTTTCTTCAGAAAGTGAAAATTTAGTTTTAAGTGTTTTGTGTTCATTGGTGACCGACTTTCAATTATCAGCTTTGCAATAAAAAAATTATGATGAGAATCACAAATTAGGCTTCACGAGTTAGAATTTTCCGAATTTTATATTGATCTGAATATTTCTGAAGACTAGGCAACAGAAAAGAATAGGCAAGGTGGGTAGGCGGTTATCTAAAAGTATAATGAGTTTATTATTTTTGAACAAATCGTACATTTGTTTTGTGTGAATAAGGAAATGAAAGCACATTTTTATAAAAAACGAAACCCTCGAGTCTCTTGTCAAACAAATTATTTATTTTCTGTGCTTTGAATTATTTTATTCATTATTTATATTCAGACAACTAAATGTGTTAGTAACTCTTAGCCTATGTTAATACTTAACAATTAACAAAGATCGTCTCTTGAGTCAGTTTCCACATCAAAGGACAATCAATTTTCATAGGTATCATCTTCAAGATGCTGTTATTGCTTGCGTAATACCGCATTAAACCTATCTGTGCGTGTCTCAACGAACATGTTCAAGGTACCCTGAAGGCATTGGGATATTGGATGCGCAGAGCATTGTAAACCCTTTGAGTGTATCCGACCCACAGACTCGGCGACTACTGAAAAGTGCAGAATGCTATGAATAGCGCTATTTTAACTGTAGCTGTGCCAAATAAGGAATACATAGGTGAAAAACTTTTTTAATCTCATGAAAGTCAGCCCTCTAACGCATTTCAATTAAGTCTTATTCATTTGAAATCCAAACTCCCTTGGGATGGAATTTGCACACCTTCACAACTTTAATGAAAATACTTTATTATTACGTATTTGCGAGCGTGCCACATAGGATACTTAATTATAAACTGTTTTTCCCAAATTTCTATTTATTTGAGTCATCAACAAACATTGTATATAGCTTTGTTTAATTGGGCTTTCCAAAAAAATCCCAGTATCAATTTTTTATGATATCAATTGACGTGACAAACAAGTCATGGGCCTGATAGTAAGCGAGATACCTGTCCGTAACATGTGCAGTGCCACTCAGAGCTTTAAATCACAAAAATCTGAGGGACACTGCCACTGCGTCTGTCACCCTGAGATATAAGTTGACAAGTCCCATGTGCCTAATTTCACCAGGACCCTTACCCTTCAAAAGGCGGCAGAAATAGGTAATCGGAAATAGTTATCATCTGATATTAAGTGACGGACGGGACGAACAAGTCATTTGTGCTTTAATGGTAAGCGACACTCAAGACTGGTGTAGTGTCCTGGTCGTGGAAACTTGCAAACGTGCAACCTGTGCCCAAAAAAGGAAGCAGAGCTGACCCTGTCAACTATCGACCTATCTCAGTCACTTCCATACTTTACAAGACTATGGAGCGAGGCTATAGAAAGACATAGTGAAGACCTTGTAATGTCTTTAGACATTTCTAAAGCCTTTGACAGGGTGTGGTACGCAAGCCTTTTAAGCGAGCTTCCTTATGGGCTTCCCACTGACCTTTGCAATTGAATTTCGAATTTCTTAAGTGAACGTTCAATTCGAGTGGTCTTAGAAGGCTACTCTTCCGAACATCGGGCGGTACACAACTCTCTTTCTGCTGCATATCAATGATATGTTAATTCCAGAAGCTTTTGGGTATGTTGATGACAGCACAGTTGTGGACAGGTACTTGACCAACGCAAGGGTAAGTGGAGAAGAAATCCAGTCTTGTCGATGGTTAGTCGTTTGAATTTGACACTTAAGATCTGGTTGGGACGATGCCAATCTTGTCAAATTTAATGCTACCAAAACGCAGGCGCGTCTATTCTCCACAAACCGGAGTCCCTTTCACCTGTCTCTAAATTTTAGTGATATATCCATACCGATAGCTGACCATCTCCAGCTACTTGGAATGGACCTGGCGTCCAATCTGGACCTCGACAGATACATTGAATCTTGGCTTCCTTTTCAAGGCGAGGCGTTACTTCACACCGGGACAGTTACTTCAGCTGTACCAAGCACAAGTCCGATCGTATTGAGAGTACTGCTGCCACTTACGGGGTGGCTCTGCTAAATACCAACTTGAACAACAATCTCGAATCTCGACAAGTGTGTCAAGAGGCTTATAGGTGACTCGGAATTAGTAGAGGCGAAACTGCAGAGCCTTGAATACCGCCGTAAAGTTGCTTGCTTATCGGTATTTTACAGGATATATCACGGAGAGTGTGTGATGGAATTGCATAATTTGGTTCCGCCTTCCTCTTTCCATTCCTCTTTCCGTTGGTCTAGACGTGGGCTGGGATTTCACCCCTATGCCGTGGATATTCCCAGGATTCGCATGAAGCGTTTCGCTTCCACATTTATATGGCAAGCGGCTAGTGAGAGAATTTCCTATCTGCGGACTCATTCCCCGAACGCTGTAACTTTTCAAGGCGAGAGTGAATAGTGATTAATTAGGTGCGCATGCTACGAGTACATCGTCAACCTCATCATCACTTAAGACGGAGGTCAAATGCGCACTTCTTTTTCTTTTAATTTAACGCAGAACGCATCGCACACGCAACAACTTCACTTAATATCTACAGTACTTCCCTGGACGAACTCTTTGACAAGGAGTACCTGTTACTGAAATAATTAATTGTGGTGTTTTGCAAGCTGGCATAATAAAATTGATTAGTATAGCATGAGCGGTATATTTTAAAATTTTGTGAGTGCTAACGGACCCACAATTTTGTAAAAGATTTCTTTCCCATTATTATTACGATACAAATGACGATACGAACAAGTCGAGTACCTGGTGGTAAGCGACACAGGTCCATAGCGGTTGCCGTGCCACTCAAGTCTTTAAAACGCAAAGACCTACGGAGCACTGCCCACTGCCACTGAGACATAAGTTGACAAATAATCCAAATAAAATATCCTGCACACAAAGTCGTGCATCGTATATAACTATAACGTTCATGTTATCATCCAAAAGGATTATCGCGTCCAATCAGTTTCAGATTTTTTCCATTTTTTTATTATTTATTTATTTAGGGGCTTCGATCGTTATTGAACATGACAGCCCTATTAGAAAATCAATACCTAAAGAAAACATGATGATGATGATGATGATGATGACAAAATGACCTCATAGTTATATGTATAATTATTGTATTGTCCATTAGGACAGTGGTTATAATTAGCATTTGTACGTTTTTACAGCAGCTACATGGCTCTTATGCTGCGCGGCTCTTCTGGCCAGTGTCTCCAGCTTCTCAATCCCGTTGAGACAGGATGTGGAGACCATTTGCATTGGCCAGGAGAATTTCCTAGGAATCCCCAGTGATGACAGCTGTATGCATTACTACCAATGTTACGCGGGACGCGCTTACTTGATACAGTGTCCTGCGGGAACTTGGTTCAATGAAGAGGAACAGGTAAGGAGAGGTCTTATTAGTGGTTTTCTACGGGCGATTTATGTTCAATGAGGCTGACGGGTATGAATAAAGCGAAATAAGTTTAAATGACACTGTTCTAAAAACAAATCCTTTTATTTAATAGATATGCGACTGGAGCGAAACACCTGAAAGATGCCGTGAAGTTGAACCCGAACCCGAACCCGAACCCGAACCCGAGCCCGAGCCCGAGCCCGAGCCCGAGCCTGAGCCCGAGCCCGAGCCCGAGCCCGAGCCCGAGCCCGAGCCCGACCCAGACCCCGAACCCGAACCCGAACCCGAACCCGAACCCGAACCCGAACCCGA